ATATTCAATTATCAGCTACAGATTCAGAGCAACAATAAAACTGAAACCACTATATTTTTCTAGGCATACACAGAGCAAAAGAGCTCAACTGGTTCTGTCTGAAATTTCTGCTGTGTAACATTATGCAATGCCATAAAAAATTGGGTGATGGAAGCCCATAAAAAATGCCTGAAATTCTCAATACATCTATAGGCTTAAATAAATCCATTTTGAGGACTCCATCATACCTACCACACATGAAATTTTTTTACAGCTACAAATGTGATAGCTCATGCTTTTGCTTCCTCACAATATATAGCTCCTCCATGAACAGAAAACATTTAGTGAACAGAAGAGAAATGTAGACATGCTCTAATTTTCTGTACAGTGGCAACTGCATTCATTATGCGTTACAGTGTCCCTTTGTTCTGAAAGAGTTAACTTTCTAGCTCCTATTCTCTGCAGTGCTGCATAAACACTGCACATTATTCTTACTGAGCATGCTTCATCTTTCCTGTCTCCACAGTCTTGGGCTGTCAATCACCTGTCAGTCCCTACCACATCAGCACAGTGCGCATCACCAGGCTGTCAGCACAGCAGCTGATGAGACTCTGCTAAGAGCTGTCAATCAAACTTGTTTCTCTTATCTGTTCAGGAAATATTTTGTCTCTAAGAAACAAAGAACCTGGGCAACAATGGATCAGAGTCTAGTATTTACTCTTTTACAGGGATAGAAGGCTCTTAACAGGAAACGAATATGTTTTATCCACAACCAGGAAAAAAAATATCTGCTCCATTAGGCATATTTTCTTTTTTGGTTTTGTTTAAATCCTATTTACTTCTTGACCCAATAAATCAGGGCATGATAAATTAAAGCAAATTTCTTTTTGCTTCTCAGTTTCTGTTGAATATAATTCAATGCAGTTTAAAACAGGTAGCATCTCTTTGGTTTTAGGAATCTTTCCCTGTCTTTAGGCATTGGAATGTGTGAGCTTTCTCTCCATCTCACTGTAGCCAAAAAGCCAGACTAGGGAAAACACACATAATTTACACCTTTGTTTGTTACATTAAAATATATCTTTATTTTCTGTAGCATTTCTCATTAAAACTCAATTTCGACATAGAATTTAATAACATGAGTAAGGTTCGTAGGTAATAACAGACCAAAAGAATAGCTGAGGGGTATAATCAAGCAGGAGAAAAACATACATTTTCAGTGGATGTTTGAAAGAAGATAGTATCTTCTTTCTGGAATGCTGTACCGAGGAAGAATTGCAGAAGGTAAAGTTCTCACATCTACAGAAATAAAATACCAAAGAAAGACAAAAAGAGCTGCAAAGATGGGCACGGCAGTGATTTTGGGTCTGACACAGAATCTCTGCATGAGAAGTTGAGCTGGGCTTTCAAGTGCACATCTATCCGAGACAAAATAATGTTCTGCGAAGATAACTGGTCTAGGTCTAACAAACCTGGCAATCAAATTAATTAGCACTGGTGGATCACTGAACTAACACACCTCTACTCTTCCCAAGGCATAAGTAAGTATTTTTACATGCTGTGCCATACAGATATACAGGCACATTTAAAGCTAGCTCAAGTATCAGTACACAGAGCTGTCTCTGCCAAGTAAACATAACCCGGTGACTTGAAATCCCCACTTTGACCCATATCTATTTTTCCTTACAAATTAAAGAATCTCAGAGCTGATAGCTGAGGAGAAACCTTGCAGGGCCAACAGTGAGAGTAGTAAAGTGAAGAAAACCGCTTTTCTCAGTATAGAGAGGAGTGCTGTAAAACACGATAATGTGAAAGGCAGGCCTAAAAATATTTGGTGTTTTTCATAAAGCTTCAGTTTGGGGCCATGAAATTAAATAAGCAGCCTAGTTTTCTGAGACAGAAAAAAAAGTGAGTTTACAACCCTTACAGTTTCTTGGATAGAACTGTATATTAAAAGTTAAAAGAAATGGGATGCAAGTAAGAGTAGTATTTTTTTAAAAAAAATCTTGTAACACACAATGATTTACAGGCCCGATTCACACGCTCTGAACATTTGCATTGGCTGAGGGATTGGGCTGTCCAGGTAAGAGCAGAGGGCAGAGAGAACCAGCTGGGAAAAAGGCTGCAATAGGAAACCCATGGAAAGGAAAAGTTTAAAGCAAGCATGGAAAAGAAGCCCCCAGAGGGGTTTGGGGACTGCAGTCAAGATTAGAGAAGAGCAGAAGAGAATACACAAATTCCCAGCAGCCTCCCACAATGGTCTTGGGAGGCTTTGAAGAAGGAACCTGGAGCCCAACACTATGCTCCTCCTTGTCTCCAGTGGCTTAAGGCAAGATCTGGATAGTCACTGAGAACAAGGAGGGCAAAGGACTGGGAATTGCCATAACCCAGAGAAAAACTGTGGCCACGGACAACAAAAAACTATTTGTCCTTCTCCCATGCACAGCCTCACAAGATTTTTTCTGGAATTTCTCCAGAAATGAATATTTTTGTTCCCAGAAGAGGGAAACCATTGCCCAAATGAAAAAAATGAGGTGCAGCCACAACAGATGTTAGAGATGCAAGCAAATCTCTCACAGGCTGAAGCAAGACAAAGGCAGGCAATTTTGAGCTGAATCCTGGAGCAAAGGCAAGAGGTCGGCATCTTTCATCACTTTCAACTCTATAGACTTCTCAAAGGATGCCTATTTCTCTTTTCTAGGGCTTAATCTTGGTTCCCTCCATTATTGTTTGCACCTACAAGAGTAAGAACAATTTGTCTTTTCTCTTTCCTCTCAGCCAGCTCCCATGTTTTTAATGCCCACTACCTACTAAAGAGCATGCATGCTGGGCAAAGAGGCAGGTGTCTTGCTGGGGACGGCGTGGATGGAGATCAGGCACTTTTGTTTAATCTCTTCCAAAACTCCATGCTTGGTGCTGCCACCACTCAACATACTCTGGCTCACCTAGGAGGAGCCCCTGCCCACTGGCCAGTGATTTCACCAGTTATTTGGAGTAAAAGTACTGGGTGACATTATGGTCTTTGGGAGATGCCAAGGCCCTCCATAGTCGTAATGGAGCATGTGCGTGGCTTGGGTGGGCAAAACAGAGACCTCAGTCAGGTCTCTGTGCCAGCTAGGACCTGCTACAGATAGAAGCGATTTTCTGCTAATGTTTGCACCCAAAGGAGAGTAGATTGTTCTTAACTCCTGGATATGCTTTTGGACACCAACTTCCCTGGTAGGAAGAGAGGGTTGCTCTTAACGCACAACCTCCACTTTGCACCCTTCCCAAGCGGCGCTGGAGGTGTCCCCAGGTAGGGACTTGGGATGACCTGGCATCCCCAAGGCTGCTCTCAAAGCCTGCCCAGATGGCAGTGGAAGTCCCAGACTGGAACAGCTCAAAGTATGCACTTTAGAGTATCACTAAACAGGAATACTGCTCGTGTCAGAAAGAATCACTAATACTGTAGTTCAGAATTATGTAAATATTTACTAACAAAGGAAAGGAAGTGTGAATGAACGGAAAGAGCCCTATATGCTGAGCTTTAATTCCAGATGCTGAGAATAACACCAACAAAAGCAACAACAGTTTGTGCAGAGGTCAGAAATTAAAACCAGAGGAAAAATCCTGTGTACTAGTGGCTTTTAAAAACATGCCCACTGTAATTTGATCTTTCAATCATGCTTATCAATGCTAAGAATCACAGTACTGCCCCGTACCAAACTGTCCCAGTTACAGATAGCACAACCATTATCAAGCACAACCATTATCAAGCACTTGCGACAACAGGAATATTTTACTCTTTGACAAATTCTTTCATATGCAGCGCCATTTTCCAGAAACACAACTCCCTCTGATCTAACTGGACATTAATTGCTTTTTTGCTGATGTATCAGTGCCTTCTGGACTGATAACACAACTAGCAAATCTGATATCTGACAAGTTGACTCAACCTAATCAGGACAGATCAGCTGTTACCAATGTTGCTATAGGCTGTAATTTGAGGACCTTTACAGAGTTATCACTTGCTTTGAAAGGCAAGAAACTGTAATTCTGTCAACACTAATCCCAGAACGTGCGTTCAAAGTGGCTGTTATTTTTTCTCCAGGAGAAGGTAACACTTGTCAAATAAATACCTGAGATAATTGATAAAAGGAATTAGAAGTATGTGAGTGATACGCTGACAATCAGTCACTCTCAAGAAAAAGAAGAACCTTGCAAGATTCAGAACATTAAGCAGAGAGCACAAGCTGCCACCGTGAAGCAGGGGTCACTCTGAATGGAGTGAAACAATTGGCAATGGAGTTTTTCTATGTTTACTTATCTCTCTGTTGCTTAGTGCTAAAGCTGAGTGAATTATTCACTTCGAACAATTTGTTCGATGAATTTTACCCCTTTTTCCTGCTCAGTGTATGCAGGCAATGGATATCAAAGCCGTAAGATTTATTCACTGCTTCACTTTTATTCAAGCTTGCATTTAGTGCTTGTTTTAGAGTATTCTAGACTTCCACTGCTGTTCAGACAATATTCAAGGCAGGTCCTTAATGTGTGCAAACAGCATAGATCCGTGCAGCTGATGGAATAATGATTATCTACACCAGTAAGGATATAGCTTTTGGTATTTTTTTTCTGATCCCTGTTTAAATCTGGAAGCCCTTCCAGAAATGATACTGAAATTTGCTACAAAGTACCCTTTCTGTGAACAATTTTGCCCACAAGACTCAACACTTGAATATTTGCAGAAACCAAGTTAACAAAGAGTGCAAGCACAGCCAAAACAAATTAATTAAAAAATTCCAAAGATTATATTGTATTATTTGCCTTGCTCCACTAGGAAATAATTTATTTTCATGTAATAAAATTCAAAGGAATTCCACAAAAAAAATAGGATTCCCAAGCCATGCAATTCTTTAATGGAACTTGATGGTCACTGAATACAAACAAGTGACTTTGTCATTGCCAGGGTTGCATCTGCCTCTTACAGATAAACTGTGTTTAGAAACTCAGGCTTGAAATTAGAACAAAAAAAATATATCTCTTACTGTATCGCTTTGGTCCGTCTTCCAAACAAAATGAAAGGGTTAAGGTTGCATCATCTTCAAAAAATTCAGTTGCAAAGGCATCCCACCAGAGGTTGTCACTATCCTAGGAAGTAACAGATCATTCACTTAACAGGAGGCAAAATGAAAATATGTTCATCCCTTATAAAAGAAATTTGACAGGATCACACATAGTTTGCGCTTCTTCATCTATGATTTTGGGGTGTAGATGTCTATATGATACTTCAAACTAATTTTCCTAGGTAAGGTTCTAGTTCTAATTTAAGAAAAATGCTAAAATGTTTAGTTTATTATACAATAAACTGTCTTTCATTTTATCAAGCACACTAAATATGTAAAAACTTTCATTGTCATAAAGACATATGCTTCTTTAAATGTTAAAAATGGTTTTATAAATCAGTTGCAAATAAACTTCTTATGACTTTTCCCCCCGTTTTCTGGACTATGTATCTCAAATTCTTGGTCCTAATAATGAAAAAAACCTCAGTACTTAATTCTATAATGCTACATAACCCGATTATCAGCATGAGTTGACAAGAAAGTTATTTAGAAACTAAATATAATAGCCATTCCACTCCAATGCATTTAATATAAATACAATGCTACTGCAGGTTAATTAAATACCAGCTAGTTACCTAAATGTAATTGTTGTGTGAAATCTTTACTTTTCAATGTGATACATGAAGTGAAAACAATATTTTAAGATGACCTGTGTATACATAGACTTACAGTAATACACATAGCTGGAAAATAGCAATCATTAATATTGTATAGAATATAAAGCATATACCAATACACCACTACAGGTGGTCTGTTGGCTTTGACAATTGAACCAGGCATTTTCAGACCTGGGTGATCGACAACGGGCACCCAAACCTCGATGTCTAGCACCTGTCCAAGTAGTCCAGCTCACAAGGGTCTTCACAGAAGTCAGGCAACGACAGAATCCACCGTTTCATTCAAAAGCTATGGATATATTTAATATCTGGATTTTAAATGTTTGGTGCGGTCTCTTCTGCTTCTTTGAGGCCCTGAGATTTAAATCACTTGCAGCACACAGGATCAGCAACAAAGCTGGAAATACACTTCTGAAGATGCCCCAGTCGCACTCCTCAGAGCCACTCTATCCCACTCACGGCAGCTGCCTTCCCAGCGTACAAGGCCAGGTTCATTCAGCGTGGTGAGCACCGAGTACCTCTTAATGCCTGAGCAATATAGAACTAAGCCAGAAAGCATTTGTTACTTTCACAGGAAAAAAAATAATCCTGAGATAAAATGCCGATTTAAGGAAAAACCTGCATCTATCTTACTCATTATATGTACACATGCAGAGAAATAACTATCTGGCCTCTGTTCTGCCTCTGTTTTTCCTGAAGATGTTACTATTGGATTTCACTCCACTGACCAGGGTATCTTTCCTGCCTCACAACTTTACTTTGATTTTTGCCAAGCATCCAACGAAGAAATGGTAAGGACAGGTTTTAGCATTCCAGCTCCTACCAGAGACCCCTCGGGAAACTTCTCAGCTGGGTCAGAGCCTGTAATTCACGTTCCTTGCCAAGGCTCATCCCACCCAGCAGCAGCAGGACAATGAGCCCCATGGCCCTGTGGTACTTGCTCAAAATTTAGTCACACACAGAGGTATCAAAACCATCCCCACATCTTAGAAATCTGTTGTGACAGAGAGCTGCTGCTCTTTCCTCTTTGCTGGTGTAAACTTGATGAGGGCTTCCACATGCAAACATCACTGCATTGACTAGCAGAGTAGCCACAACGCTAAGTACAGAATATATATAGGTAGGTGTTCAACAGAAACCCAGCACCGACCCTTCCCTCAGGACAGACTGGTGGGTGACATTATAAGTCCATACAAGAGTGCACTGTCCAACCAGTAATTACGAGTTACCAAGCTCTGCCACGTGCCGACAGAGAGGCTGCAGGATCACTTAACTGGGATCTTTTGGTCATACTTGTCATAGGGAAGGAAGAGGAGCGGGAAGGATTGAACCAGTGTCACACACCACATTTGCAGCTCTTGTTAACTCCGTGGTTGAGTATCACTGGAGCTAGTCATGCAGCATCTAATGACATGGGAGGCAAAAGAGGAGCATCATATAGTTGGGATGCGAATGCACACGGGAACGACAGACAAGAGCAGGGAAAGTGCAGGGCCTCACCTCAAAACCACACATATTTGCACTCAGTCTTGCTTCCAAGAAGTCTGAAGGCAAGGAAAATGTGGAGACGGAATTACTGTGGATTCCCTCCCTGGATAGATGAAATATCCTGACTCTGTCACAGTTTGAATACTGTCCAAAGTCTTTATCTTATGTTTTGCATATTTTATGTCAGGAAGAAGGAAAAACAGAAAATGCAACACCCCACCCACAAAAGAAAAAAAAAACCAACAACAAAAAAACCCCAAACCTTAATAGAATACATAAATCCAAGGCTGACACCTTGGATATGCTCTGCTGATTAATTCTCTGCTCCACCCTTGTCACAGGTGGGCCCAACTACTCTCACAGCCAAATGGTGAACAAAACCAAATGAGGTGTCCCCTAGCCAAGCTGAAAAAGGATCCAGTTATTAAAAAAAAAAAAAAAAGAATAATAAAATCACCCCCTTCTTCTTGCAAAAAAGGGATGGTGAAGGCAAGGCTGCCCCCAGGCATCTTTAACTTATGCTCTGACAGGTTACGGGGGATTTTGCCAGAGTAATTATTTTTCTATTCAACAATAATGAGAAATTACCATGGCAACCTCCCTTTCACGTAGTGCACTCACACGCTCAAACATTGAAATAATGGCCTAAACATAACAAAAAAAATATTTAATACTGTAAAAATATTTTGTATTAATATAAACTTAAGGAATGGGTCAAAGGAGAGAAGAGGGCAGAGACAGCCAGCGAGTTGGGTCGGAAGTGAAGATGCCATGCTGCTGTAGCCAGCTACTCAAGCAGCAAAACGTCTTCTGCCACAGCTGTCATTGTTCCCTCTGATTCCTTCCACCCCTGGTATTATTTGTAATTTGAAGCATGGCTCAACTCTGAATAGGGTCTCCAAGTAAATGGAATCCTAGGGTTTCAATATTTTTTCCTGACTCTGATTTCTTTGGCAAATGTAATCAGATTTTAAGTACAATGATGTTCTTTTTCCCCTCTGTCTAATAGTCCCACATGTTCACTGTGTGATCTAAGAGTCAAGCTGGGTTCTTCTTTACACCTTACACACTTACATGATTAAGAGTCTGCAAGCCAAATGAGGCTTTTCTACTTGCCTGTAATGGTGATTGCTGAACCAAAATAGATCTTGCAACTGGAATATAAGGCCAACTGAGCCTATGGCATTTTCTCCAAATTCCTTTATTTTTGTTTAATGACTTGGACGGCAGAGTGGAGTTCATGTAAAAAGTCAGTACATGAAACCACGCTCAAGAGAGGATGCAGATACCTTGCAGGACAGAATTGGAATTCAAAATTACTTTGATAGATTGCAGAAATGATCTGAAATGAAGATGAAATTCAGTAAAGTGAAGTGACAAAGCAAAAACACAAAATGGGGAATAACTGGCTAAGCAGTACTGTAGAAAATGGTCCAGATCATAAAGCATATATGTCAGCAATCTGTTGCTCTTGCAAATAAGGGAAATGTCTTAGAGATAATTCCTTTCCACTCCAACAAACATATCTCTGGAAGACTTCAACTGGAATAGTCCATCCACTTCTGGAGTAGAGTGGCCAGGTCTGGGCCACTCACTCTTAAAGAATTTAGCTGAGAACAGGAATAATTGAGTTTAAAGACACAAACAGACAAAAAAAACAACCCCAAAAGACTCACAGGAAGCAAGAGAAGGACCTAGCTGTGTTCAGTATAAGACAGAAGAAGCTCACAGGGAACATGACGACAGTCTTGGACCATATCAAAAGATTACTATAAAGAGCGATCACTTGTCCTCGGTGGCTAACAAAGATAGAAGAAGTAATAATCAGTTCAGTTCGCTGCCATCCTGGGTTAAGTGGTTTAATCCTCTGTTACAGATTTCTAGGCTAGTGTGTTGCAGAAGGAAAGAAGCCGCAGAGCATGGCTGCTGTGTTCCCGAGAAGGGTGGATTCAGAGGTCCCGCTGCCTATGAGCCTCGGGCAGACCTGCCCCATGGCGGCAGCTCCACGGCTCGTACCCAGCGAGAAATGGATTTTTGTTTTCTCCCTCACATCGCTTTTGGCTGCACACATATAACAGGTGTAAATAGTATATTAAAAAGAGAGTCATGGAAACAAATAAATGTGATTCTGAATACACACAGGAAACACATCTGTTCTGAAACAGGACCTTTTTTTTCACATAATCACTTTTCAGGGAAGAACTGAATTTTAAACATCAACCTATGTGGCTTGGCATTGGACAAGGCAAAAATAAAAAGAGATAGTGCCCTTGGGAGCTTACATTTTTCTTCTGGCACTTGCAACCCTTCCCTATTGACACTTACTATTTTCAGAACTCTATACGTCCACACTCCTGTTGGCAACATACGCGCTTCTCATATTCTTTCAAATTAATGCTGTGCAAGGAAACTGCTGTCTCCCCAAGGAGAGAATGGTATTCCTTCCCTCCTCCCCTTCCCAGCAAATCAAACTACACTTGAGCTTTTAAAATGCAGTTCAAGATAAGATTTTGCCATTAAATACACCTGTAAAAACTGCACAGCCCTTACAAATTATGAAACTCACAAGATCAGTATCATAAAAAAATTCTGACACTAATGTTTATACTCAGAGCACATTGGCAGACCATTAAAAATAAAATGCCTGAATACCAGAAAGCAATAACTTTCCCCATTAGCTTTAAATTAGATGCATCTTGAGTCTACCCAACATATTTAAGGTTCTGATATGAATTTCACAGGAGTAACAAATTAACAGGGATCCATATATCTTAATTTCATACATTTGGACATTTGAGTACTTATCTATAGGTCCAGCCCTGCAATGCACAATGTTTTCATGATCTGGCATAGAGGTTTTTTGCTGTTTATATAAATTCTATACGGAATACTGATATTCTGAGTCTTAAATTGATTT